TTCCTGTTAAAGGTGAAGGATTTGGATTGCTCAGACAATTAAGAGCCCATTTTACCAAGTGTAATTTCATATCTGCGTTCTATAAACTGGAGTGCCTTCAGCATTGTAAATAATAAAAATTGCCCTCTATTAGCATGTTTGTGGGCAGATTAAAAACAGTCTTCATTAGCATAAGTAACACTTACAGATTCTTTTAAAAGTAGAAAATTATTTGTTGAATGATAAATTGCTAGCTTTCTAGTTAGTTGCTGAAAATGTGCTCATTCAAAATGCCTACTTTAGTTTAGTCTACAATACTCAATTTTTTTTTAGTTAGAAGTACTGTTTAATGGATTATGTACTTAGTCTTTGTTCATGGTAGATGCTGAAATGCAATTCACACTTTCTGCTAAAATGTTGGTATCAAATACCTCCCTATTTAGATTGATTTCTTTTAACACCATATATTTTATTATACTATATGCCCCAGAGAATGATACAAAATAATCTTAAATATACTATAACGAAAAAAACCTGAGCCTGTCTTAGCATTGATTCTCTAAAATGTTTTCCCTTTCTAGATTTAAGCTAAACCCTTTCTAAGAAATGCTTAAGTCATTGTTATTCTGTAAGAAATATTCATCATTTGGCAAATTATTATCAATGTAACAAATTAACCAAACAATTTCAATTGCTTCACCTTGTAGTTTTCCCTTTTCAGATTAGGCATGTTTGTTGCTGATCTGGAAAGCTTTGGCCAGAGAACATTCTTCATTATTGCAATGCTATCCTTAATTGATGTAATTAGGCTAGATATTTACACCTTAGGTATGGAAGTCTTTTTCCCTTTCAATAATAAAGAATGGAAGAATATTTTATTAGAAACTCTGTGTGAAAGAGCAGATTTTATTTAAGCACAGCAGAGGTCTAACTGAAAAGAATAGAATTTGGATATATGGATAAAATGCATAGATGCTTTCTTTAAAATAAGCGTGCTCATGGGTATTGCAGAGCCTGAGTTTTGGCAGTTATCCTCTTTGCGCTTTTCCTGCAATAGTTTGGCAGTTCGGCTTTCACAGGTTTTTTTTCCTCTAATGTCTTGTATTTCTTTACTAAATCCCTATCAGAAAACCAGACAGAAGACTCTTATTTATTTTAAATATCTTAGGTTTAGCATCTTTTTTTTTCACCATTTTCTTGCTTACTGTAGCAAGACCTTTGCAGATGGTACTTGGTTACTTGAAAGTGCATAACAGTATTTTCTTTGTAGCAGATGGATTTAAGACTTTTAGTTCCCAATAAATGTAGGTTTACAATACATAACTTTACAGGATTTGTGTTGTATATAACAGGTTTGAACATATTATCTCAGAATTCATCTGCATGGCATTTTCAGCTTATCCAGGGCCCATGCCAGTATTTTAAGTAATAGGGAGAGCATAGTGATTGATAGCAGCTAAAGGCGTGATTTTGAATAGAAACAAAGGTTTTAGAACAGAAGGTGTCAAATTAAACTTTGTCAGTTTGAAAAGTAGTAACATCCTGAAAGTTCTCCAAACATATTTACATGTGGCTAATGTTTATATTTTGCTTTGTACTCTCTTTATATTCAGTGTAATGTTGCCTGGCAAATTTACTCTGTTTTAAAATCAAGGTTGTTCCCAATGTCATTGCAGAGTTTTTGGGGGGTTTGCCTTTCTGCATAAATGCATCCACTTCATTATTTTAATGCTGTTTTCTTAACAATGTACTCTATATGCTGTATAAACTGGTTGTGATCTAATCTGATTTATAAATATTTCCTTATTATTTTGTGGTCATTTCCACTTCCTGTAAAACTATAAAGACAAGAAAAAAAGGAAAGTAGGCAGAAATTGCTCTAGACTTAAAAAAGTATTAAAGGAGAAAAACCAGCCCTGTTACATTCACTTTTAAGTTCAGCTGCATTATCTGCAGCACTTCATACCTTTTTTAGATCAAATGGAAACAAAACTTATAAATTTTACAGAACTTAAATTAACCATTAGAAAAGTCTGGATTATTTTTTTTCCAAAATTTTGTAAAAAACATTTCGTACTTTCTCATGTAGGTGACTTTTATGAATGAGCTTTATTTCATGTACAGAATTCTGAACCAGAAACTAAATTAAATACTTCTATCTTTAATTATTTGTCTTGAACCAAAAGGAAGCATATTGGGATAAAGTTCATACCCTCTTAACAAACTCAGCCCCTATAGCCTCTCTTGCTGTCCATCCACTGTCTCATCTGAGAACATTGGTGAGATCAGCTTTCATAAATATGTGCAGAAATAAACCATGAAGACCAAAAATTTTTTTTCTATCCTTGTAATTGTAAAAGAATTCAGTTGTTTGTTTCCATGTTTTCCATCAAATGTTTTATCAGAGTGTGTCTACTTCTTTAAAAATGTGCCAAGTGAAATAGAGACATTTTGGTAGAACAGTAATCTTTTCTGTGTACCCTGTCAGAAGTATCTGTCTTCATTATCTCAAAATCCCTGAAAGGCTAGCAGAGACATGTTTCAGGTTACAATTCATCAAGTAATTTTAGATAAGGCATTAGAAGTATTATTTCAGTGCAAAAATTGAGAGAAAACTGTTGGAAATACAATGTTAGCTATCAGTAGTTAATAAAAATAAGGTCTGACCTAGTAAATACAGAAACAGAAAAGACAGTAAGGACAGAAGGTTTTCATTAGTTATCAAAAACTGTTGTGAAATATGTTTCATCAACAGAAAATGTTATTGCCTAGGAATTATTTTTTCTACTGGATATTTTGTAATTATAAAAGTTTTCTACTGCATTTTTAAGAAAAACAAACCCTGTGATTCCCGTGGTCAGCAGACAAAACATCTGCAGCTTCTAAATGCATGGTGCACTTCTTTTCCAGCTTGTGTGTATGCCTTGGAGAGGTGTCATAGGTGGAGATGGATTGTCTTTTTTTTTTTACTTCCACCAAACTGTCATGATAGACAGCTCTGCTCTTTGTTTCACCACTTTAGAAAGAAAGCCAACAGTTTCAGTGTAAAGCAGCGCAGATTCCAGACAACCAAAGGACAGTGTTTACTCTTTGGCATGGGATGGTTTGTGGCTTTGGGGTTCCTTAATTTAGAATTTTGTAACTGCTCTTCAATTAAAAGATCGAGATTGGTTTATCTTCATCATGATCTCTCCTCTGTCCCCAAGAAGCTGCCTCTGCTTTCTGAGTGCACCACTTTTAACTTACTGCAATAAAGGAATACTGCTGCTGATCATAACCCAGCACTCAGTATCCCCGTGGATGCAAGGTGAGCAGAGAGCCATGAGCAACATGCTGTTTTTGTTAGGGGCAGGGAGAGCTCACCCTGCTAATACATTCCAGTGAGATTCCAGAGACCCTTGCTACTGTTTTGAAAACATTCCATACAATTCCAGCCAGGACAGGCTGAGTGTCTGTGCTCTGTGTGAAGGCATTTGGCCACATTTCCCAGTCGTCTTGCTAAACCCTGGGGCAATACCCAGCATCCCCACTTAGTCAAGGAATGGGGTGTGCTCCATCCCTAGGGTGTAGGGGAGCCCTTTGCTGCCTCTGCTCTCCCCTGTCTCTGCTCCTTCCCTCGCACACCTCATGAGCACCTGGCAGATTTTGGCCCCATTTAAATTTTTGCTTTTTCAGCTCTGCTGAAAAACCACCATCTCTATAACATTTGTCATTTTGATAGTTTCTTGGGGGCATTTTCTTCTGTGTCATTTGTTCAGTTTTTCACTTATATCCAAGCAAATATACTTCCAATTTTTATACACACCTCACTAAATATTTTCATATACAATATGAATGCATTACCATTATTTGTTTACTTTGAGTCTTCCTGTTGTGGGAATATTTTTATGCTGCATTTATTAACTATTAGCTAAAGATATGAGTATCTTAAAGAAAATACATATCTATATCACATCTATGAGTCTATTGTATGTGTTAGTAAACCATTCTGGATAAACCATTAATCCACTACTGGTATGTATAAAAAGGACCTAAAAGCATCTGTACATTTATATTATTTGTTGTATCAATAAAATGTCACATTATCTTTCCTACAGCATTGAGAAATAAAGCTGCATGGACCTATTTTTGAAAACAGATCCTTGAAGCTAAAATAAAGGAAATATGCATGTTTTATACATGTAATATTTTGTTCCTAAATTTTAATATACTAGAAAATTTCTGCTGATGTACACTGTCCTAGCTAGAGGGTTTGCATTCCTCTTTTAGAACTACCACTGCACAGTTGAGAAAAAAATCCTCAATTAAATTTTAAGAAGATGTAAAGAAACATTAAATTTTTGTGATAAACTCCTGTGACTCTTTCAGAAGCAAACTAGCAACTGCTTCAGTTCTTGCAGGGGATTCTGTAGCTGACTTCATATTATGTACCCCAAAGACTCATAGGCACCTTTCTGTCCTTGATGTGGAAATGTATAAAGGGAGTATCAGAAGCTAGAGCTCATCTTCCTTCCGCCCAACCCCTAATAATCCTGTGCATAAAACTGAGAGACTGATTTTTTTCTGGGTCTATGAGGACAATCTGGAAGCAGTTCTGTATCACTTGAAATAAGTTCACCTGCACAGAAACCTCTTCTTGTAGCAAAAATTAAGAAATTATTGCTTGACTGCATCTAGTCATAGAATTCCTGTCTTTTGAAGAGATGATAGGGAGTTCCTCTACTGCTGTGGTTTACGTTAGGCAGCCCTACGGTCAAGCAAACAAATAGCAGCACTGTGGTGTGAGACCAAGGGGAAGATGCTTTCCAAAATGCCTATGGTGGGTAAGGGTCTATGAAATGGCTGGGCAGCCTCTCAGTGCATTGGTGTTTGCTTTAAGCCCAGCCTGTGCAGTGAAAGCCCTTTTGATCAGGTGAGAGGATGAGAGAATGCATCACCTCTAAAGTACACATTTCATCCTCATTTTGCCCCTTGCAGTGTGATGAAAAACTACCTAATGTTTTGCTGGTTTTGTCTTCAAGGGGTGGCTCTGTGAGCTGTTACGTTGGAAAGAAGATCCATCACCAGAAAACAGGACCCTCTGGGAGAATCTCTCCATGATCCGAAGGTTCCTCAGTCTTCCTCAGCCTGAACGCGATGCCATTTATGAACAAGAAAGCAATGCAGTTCATCACCATGGTGACAGGCCTTCCCACATTATCCATGTGCCAGCAGAACAGATTCAGGTTAGTTTACCTTGGCCAATCCCGCAGAGCGCTAAGTAAATAAAGCTTTAAACGGAGCAAAGGAAATTAGTGTTTCTTCCCTCCTGGTCAGGCTGAACGCAGGTCTCCCGGTGCAAGATAAGAGCGCGCTGCCATCCACCAGCGCAGTTCAAAGGAGACTGTGCGACCACCCACAGCTCTTGTTGCGGTTCGCTGGTGTTTGCTAACGTGTGTGGTGGCAGTGCACAGGCAGCTGTGTGTGGGCAGGGCGAGCTCGGCCCCGTGCTGGCTGTGCCTGCCTGGACAGGCACAGGGCCGAAAGGCAGCACTGGTCAAGGGTCTTCCTTCCAGCAGACCAGGAGGACCTTGTTGTGCTGCTGATCGAAAACCAAGCAAGAATCCTCAGCAGTGGCAGCTCCTCCTGGTTAGGAGTGAAGGGAAGGGGATTTCTCATCCCACTTTAACCCCAGTTGAGACTGGGGTGAGTCAATATTTGTTTGTTTTTCCTTCAGAGCCCCTCTCCCACCACCCTTGGGAAAGGAGAGCATAGAGGCGCTTTCCTACCAGGCCTGTTGACCGCTGGACCTTGGCTGGGTGCTGCTCCGCAGGTGAGCTGGCACAAGGGCACCATGTCAGGGAGAGAGAGGAGGGGATGCAAGACTCACACCATGAGGCTTGGAAGAGCTGCTGCCCTCTGCTTCAGGGCAGCCCCAGCTGGAGCTGCACACACCCTTTTTTGCTGGCACAGGTGCTGCCAGCCGGGAGCGGAGCTGGCTGTTGTGCTCGGCTGTGTAGCCCAGGTTGTCAGTGGGGACTGCTGTCTCTCTGAGCTGGGGACTCTTTAATCGCTTCTCACAAAAGACCTGAGGTCAACCTTGTAACTGCACCTTCTTAAAGGGCAGATATTACCCCATGCTTTTCCAGCCTCAGTTGAGACCCTATGTATCACTTGTATTACCTATACAGAAAAATATTTACAAAGCTAGGAAGGATAGAGTTATCTCGCAGCCAGAAACAACACGAGTGTATATTAAAGATAAAGCAAACTGAATAAGACAATCCCTTAGGATATCAAGTACTAAAATAATTGTGAAAGCCTGGAAACTTGCTGTTTGATTTAGCAAAAAGAGAGAGAAAGATCTATATTAAGTAATAAAACAGCACTTGTTTGAAAATGTACATTGTTTTTAATAAAATCGCTTCTTAAGGGGATAAAAGGAGAAGCTTATGCACAGTATAAACATTCAACCACTATGCCACTTACTTAGATTTTCTTGCCTTGTTGATAAAAGTTGTGTGTTTGATCTCATAAATATTATTCACATAAGCAGTTGCATTGTAATCTCTTAATATGACTTGTAAGAGTAAGGATTGGGAGATTGGGCCTGAGTTTTGTCTCTGCTGTTCTACATGGTAATTGTTGTAGATGCATAAATATGTAGCTCAGACACAAGTTTTCAAACTGTATATACAAAGCCTCCAGTCTTATAAGAATTTAATATACTGGGAGTAGTCTTGAATCTCTTCAGGACAGGAGCCTTGAATGGGACTACTCACAGACCATAAAACATGCAAAGACCTGAGCAGGGATGAGGAAGGAGCCCCAATTCCAGGGCATTCATGTCAGATCTTAAAATATGAAGATCACTTAAAGCAGTGGCTTCTAAACCAGTTGTGGATGTGCAAAGTCTCCACAACCACAAGAGCCCCTATGAAGTGGACAGAATTATAATCCCTCCAGTATTTATACCATTTGTACAGCATTTTCTGCTTCTTAGGGTCTCAAAGAACTGCTACTAGAAGCCTGGAAGCCACTACCAAAAGACAAAAATTGTTGAAGGGAGACTCTCAAAGGGAAATAAAATGCAGTGATAGCAACTGCTTGTTTTGCTGTGGTTGTTTTTTAATAATAACTGGTGGTTTGTACCATATGACAAGAAATTCGCTGATCCAAAATATCTTACTAACCAGTGCTTCCTGTGCTGTGCAGCAAAAGAATTGTCAACACAAACAGTAGCTGATAAATTTACTTTTGATTTTAAACATGATCTTATAGTGTACTGTACTCTGGTGGTAGATGAGAAAAACATTTCTATCCCTAGGGCTCAGTGCCTCACCTTTTAAGAATGTTTCTGAATCCATGCTTGCAAAACTTCATTTTAAGCTCTTGTTAATTATTTACATCATGATTTGCTTTATCTTATTCTTCTGATGTGCATATTGGCTCATTTTTATTGCCTGAGTTTTTGGAATGCAGCATGTTCCCGTCTAATAATAATAGTGCAACTTATTTAGAGCTTTGCATCTTAGGGCTTTATAAATATTAACTAAATAATCCCCAGTACAAACACAGAGGCAGGTAAATAGGTCTATTCCCTGTTTATTTGTTGGGATACAGGCAGTGCAGGCTTGCTCAGAGACTGCAGGCAGGAGAGGTCAGATCCAGAAGGGGAAACAGATTTCCTACCTCCAGATCCCTTTGTCCTTGCCGAGGCTGGGTTTGTCAGCGCCACGTTAGGCACTTCCAGCCAGCATATTCTGTTTTAATGTTTGCAAGTTTGACGAGACTTCAGTGCATGCTGAGGTCAGATCAGCAGTGAGATATTTCTGTACTCAAAGAGATAAAATGCTCTCCTTCCCCCTGACCCCCCAGCCCGTTTGTCTAGCTATTGCTAGAGAGTTGCAGCCCTTGTTTTTGGGCAGCAGCTGCCGTTGCTGGCAGAGCTCCGGCACGTTTGCCCTCATCTGGCACTTTTCTCACTTTGCCCTTGCTACAGTTCTGGCTAAGCTGGTCAAGTTAATCCTATACTATGTCATTTAGCATTTTGTCTTGTCTGCACTTGACTCATGGAGCATGTTCATTAAAATTTGTCAGCTAAACCGCACCAATGTTGTATCATCAGTGCTTTCGGTCTGGCAAAGCTACGGTGTTCTTTTTGTTCTTTCTTTTTTTCCCTTCCTTTTTTTTAAACTTACTAAGCCTTTGTTTGTAGCTCTGCAATTTCTTCCCCCCGCTCCCTCCTCTGGATTTTCTCAGGAACAAAATAGGAGCAAGAATACATGTACAAAAAAATGCTGTTCTTTGTCTTGCAGCAGCAGCAGCAGCAACAGCAACAACAGCAGCAGCAACAGCAACAACAGCCAGGTCCCAGACTACCCCCAAGGCAACCGACAGTAGCATCACCAGCTGAATCTGAGGATGAAAATCGTCAGAAACCCCGACCGCGAACAAAGATTTCTGTGGAGGCCCTAGGGATCCTACAGAGTTTCATACAAGATGTAGGCCTGTATCCAGATGAAGAAGCAATCCAGACTCTCTCCGCTCAGCTTGACCTGCCCAAGTACACCATTATCAAGTTCTTTCAGAACCAGCGATATTATCTCAAGCACCATGGGAAGCTGAAAGACAATTCCGGTTTGGAGGTGGATGTTGCAGAATACAAGGAAGAAGAGCTGCTCAAGGATTTAGAAGACAGCATCCAAGACAAAAATGCAAACACGCTTTTTTCAGTTAAACTAGAAGAAGAGTTATCAGTAGAAGGGAACACAGAGATTAATGCTGAATTGAAAGACTGATCTAAAAGTATTATTTTCTTTCAACAGTGCCGCTGGTATTTACTAATGAAATGAAAATTCCATCTTGCGTTGTGTCAAAAACCCTTATTATTCATTGTTTGGCCAATGAATCTTCCAAAACTTGCACAAAAGTTGAAAAAAAGGATAATGCAGACTGCACTAGATGTTTTACTCTATTTTACAAACTGCTTCGCAGCAACAGATGAAGCGTTGAGGATTGTTTGATATTAATTTGTGTTCACTGGATACACTGTGAGTGTACCCAATAAGCATGATACCAGTGATTTTGATTCTGGAGCCTTCAGACAAGCATTACAACTTTTGTGATTTACTGTTTTTTCGTTTCTGTTTTGTTCTTGTTTTTTAATTATTACTGTAGCACTCCACACTTGATCTTTGAAAAATCACATTTATTTAAAAAAATAAAATAAAAAGAGTTTGTTACTCTTGTTCTATTGTATGTTACAAAAGAACTATAGACTGTGGAATGCAGTTTAAAGATAACATATGCCAACAAATGCCTTGTATTATATGGCACTGCCGTAATTCAGATTTGTTTTCTTTTGGAAATAAAGGTCACTGTATTTTTTTTTCCATTCTCATTGTTACATGGTTTTAGAGAAAATGAAAAAGAAAATGTGAAACACGATTTAGTCTTCATTATTTATTTGTAGATCCTGCAGCATCATGTTGTAATTAATTTTTTTGGAAGTTTCCGTTAAATGTAATATTGCTTCTCTTGTTACCATACTGATTTTTTTTTTCTATTTATAAATGTATTTTGATGGGCAGTAAAACAAAGTGTCTTAAAAGTTTTAAATAGAGAAAATGTGCTTTACACAGTTGCCTATAAAAAGTGCTCTATGTTATCCAAGCAATTCATACTATAAGCTTCACTCTTATTGTTGTATGCAATTTTTACTATCATGCAAATAAGCTTAGGTAAATAAAACTAATAGATCACCTTAGAAACTTATGCAATTAATGTGAAAATAATTGATGTTTGCAATGTGTCTTCCTTTGGTTTACAATCAATTTTAAAGCTACAGCTGTATAAATTTTCTGTATAAAGGTGTATTTCTTTTTTATGAGTTTATTGCTATGAAAACACCAGTTATTTTGTTACAGCTGGCTGTTTTTATAAGTGTATCACAATTTTCTTTATGCAGAAATGTTCTGACTAGGAGTGGTTATTGACTGTAACTACACAATTAAAATTGTTTGTATGGTATGATATGGCAGGGTTTGTCTGTGTATGTGTATATCTGGGAGGAATAACTTGTTCTTAGTGCACATCGTACCTTCTTGCCACCACTTTGTTCTCCTTTAAAATCACAGGCAGATTTTTTTAATGACCTTCTTAAAATTTGAATTTAGATAACATACTTCAAAAAGAAACACAGTTTGGTTATGAAAATCATAACCTGTCTTTTCTTGGTTTAAAAACTTGCCTGCCCAACAGAGATAGCAGGATATTATTGAGTCAGAAGGCTATCAGGCATAAACATATTTACAGTTCCTGGCAGTAATGCACTTATAATGGATACAGCTGGTTTTATTTTACACTAGAATTATGCTAACACTGTTCCTTGCACTAATGTATAAACATTAAAAAAAAACATTAATAGTCATAAAATAAATAGGAAAGATGGGCTTTGCCCATAGCAGTCTCCTTCTAAGCAAGATTATTTTTAATGATCACTAATAAGGTTCTTGATAAAGCCATAACAATTGGTGACCTCTGAATTTATGCAAGGATCATGTCTAGGCTAGAGATCAGTCTGCAGCTACAAGTTGTGGAGCACGCACTGCTGTTCTCCTAGGAGAGAAATAACTCACACGCAGTGGGACTCGGGATGGGGATTCAGCTCAGTCTTCCTGACATAACTAAAAGTTTACAAAACTCAACATGAATTTCAGAGGGACTATTGGCTCTTAGCAAAAGTCTTGGTTTAGTTCTATTAAGTTCATTGGGAAATTTAAAACTGCTGCAGGCTGTCCTTGGTCTCAGTGTCCTTTGTGGGTCCGTTGAGCAGCTCTCAGCTGTGGCACCTCTTGGCTTCTTCCAGGACTGTCTGGGGCTACACCATGCTTTGGGTTTGGGATCCATTCCAGTTGAAAGAAAAAGCCTTAGTACCACTCTGGAAGGGAAATAAGCCTTAGGAGGGACACATCTATGTAATTTGGCATTGCATTCCAATAAAAAGGCAGTAAAACTATGCTCTCGCTTAAGGGACTTGTAGTAGCTATAAAACTATCGATAGCCCAAAGCTATGCTGGTCACTAAAAGGCAGAAATAAGCCTAGTCTGGGGAAGTGACTGTGATCATGATTGGATTTCTTCCCTTATTTCAATGGCATTGTTGCTGTGTACAGTCATGCAGATGGAGCTAGGACTGACCCCTGTACACAGCTGAGGGGCAGGGTACATGGCTCAGGCAATGCAAGCTGATTTGGTGGGCAGGACGATACTGCTGGCACCCTTGGGTACACTCTGTCCCTAACGATGTGTGCAGATACAAGGCAGAAGGGGGAGTGAAGGAAAGACTTGAATGTACCTCTCTCCACACTAAATGCTAGTACACACAGCACTCCAAATACCTGAAAGAGGGCAAGCTTACAAAAGTGTAAGAAGAAATGTTTAGTCTTTGCTGTTTTGCAAGCAATTTCCTTTTCTTTTATCATTTTAAGTTTTAGGGGTGCTGAAGTAGAGGCCATGTGTGCTTGCAGATGGTTATTATAGCTGTTTCTTTTCCATTATCTTCATTGTTCTTTCTCCTACTGTAGCTGAGGTTATCTTCCAAATGGTTCAGCCTCTGTAGTCACACATTACCTGCACAGGAGTTCAAATCATTGCCTTTTTGTGTCCCAGTGGGTAGGCTGCAAGTACAGTCTTTTAACTTGGCCTATGTGACCAAAAGCATTTTTGTTAAATCTTTGGCAGTGTTTTCAAAGGTGATATGGGCATTAAGGATTCCAGCTTTCTGTGAATGCAAGAGATTTGAACTGTTAGGAATTCAGCTACAGCAAGCATATGCCACCTTGACTCGTGGACCAGTTAGTCTACCTAGAAAATTACCTTATGTCCTTTTCTGTTCCTTAAGTTCCTTTTTCTTACGATCTGGTGGAAACATACTAAAAAAAAAAAAAAAAAAACAAACAAAAACCAAACAAAAAAAGACTCCAAATGAACAAACACACTTTTCCACTTCAGCAAAGATTAAGAAATCAGACTGGAATTCTGTAATGAAGCACAAAAATTGAGACATAAAACCACTATTAGTTGGGAAGTTATTAGTAAAACTCACTGAGTAGGACTTCTCTAAATGTATGAAATGACTATTATATACTCATATATACATATATATATATATATATAAAATATGTAGTATTATCTACTACATGTATACTTAGGGAAGAACGGGGAAGGAATATTACTGGGAATAGATTTTAAGCTGCAAAGAAAGCCAAATGCCTAAAAAAGAGGGAACTGAGTACTGGGAGGGGATGGCAGGACTTAGTTTTTGCTATAAAACTGAAGTTAAGTATTTATCATGTTTTATGTTATGGTGTTTACCATAAGAAGTGGAGTATTTTTACTCTCTGATGATTCCCATTATTCTATATTTAACTGACAAGATTTAGGTATATATGCTAGAATTCCCAGTGTGTGTTTTTCCACCCTGAAAGAGACCCAAATAGGCCCCAGATTCCAAGAGGTCCGTGGCCTGGGGACAGTCTCAAGCCCCAGTCACATCCACAAGTTGCTTATAATTATAAAGACTTACTACCTGCAATGCAGGGGTTTAGATTTGTTTTGTATAACTACCTAAATTGGTAAGATGACCCAGCAAAAACTGTCCGTGTATCAATTATTACACTCACTTTTTTCTTTTAGTTGGGAAGGTGCAACAAATGGAGAAAGCAAAAAGTTCCTCCAAACTGGTGATTTTGTTGCAATGATTTACAAAGTCAGTGCTTTGACTGTGTGCTGGGAAAGCACCAAATATTACTAAGTTCATTTGCCAAAGCAAATGCTCCACATGTTAAGAGCAGTATAAATGAGATATTATAGAGGCTCTACTAGAACATCAAGTATTACCAATTCTGCTTAACTTATTGAACTTGTTCTTTGAAGTCAGGTACATTGCGGAGACCAAAGGTATTTTGATTTTTACATAATGATTTATATTGTGCTTTGAATAATAGTCCCACAGCAAAGCAGGGATATAAATATACTCCCAGGCCTTTTTTTGCACACAGAGGTAATTTAGGTTGGTCTCCTCACAGTGCCTTGCGTCCACACACTCTTTTACTACAACAAATGAGCTAATAATTCAAACTGCAATAAGTGATCCTCCTTGGAGCAGGAGTAGTGCTACTTGGCAGTGAGTTTGTTTGCTTTCAGGTTCATACGGGAGCCTTCCTGCAGCTCTGCTGCTGGCAGCCCTCCCACTATCTCAAGCTGCATTGTTTCATTTTGGCCTGACCCAGGCACTCTTCCTGCTCCAGGTCATCTTGGCCAAATGTCATCTCTCCTGGTTATAGGCCATTACTCAGGTATATGTGCCACAGTTTAATATGAGGCAGCAAGGACTGTATGTGTCTGATGTCACCTACCCTTTGTCATCACGATTCATGCCATGAGCCCTGCAGAGCTGCTTGAAAAAGCCACTGGCATTGGGAAGACAGTGACACTTGGAGCAAACCCACCAGGAGACAGGTTACTTCTGGAGCAGAGGGGGCAAGGAGGTGTGCATTCCACAGGGGAGAAAGAAGGAAGGTGCCAGAGAAAGATGAAAGAATCAGGTCACAATAGCTACCCCTGCATGGGCGATCGAGCTTTTTTGCAAGGCATGCTGTGGCAAAACTCAAAATACTACAGAGTGCTATCAAGACTCCGTGGAAAATGCACAATTTTCTCCAATTGAGGGACTTACTCTGTCAGGCAATAGCTAGTTTAATACAAAATCTTCTCAGCTGTTCATGGCTAAAGAGGTCCCCTAGTTTGTCCTCTGGTACCATCCCTGTGCGCAAGATATGCAGGATTCTTTTTGCCAGCTGCTGACATGTTACCATGGCAGTTGCAGCTGGGACTCTCTTTCTAGGTTACTTGCTTACCTAGAAATGTGCTAAAGTAACATCTAGGCTGTAAACCCTCTCATTTTCTTCCAGGATCACATCCAAACACAAGCAGTGTGCTTGCAGCCTCAAACCTACTTTTTGGAGCTGTCTCCTACAGTGTTCCTTCTCCTCAGACCAGATGTGCCACAGCAAATGTGTTGTATAGCTCAGATGTTCATCATAGTGCAAGAAAACAGAAAAAACATTACTTTTGTGGGTACAGAGATGTATAAAGCACACACAGGTCAGAAATTTAGAGCAAGTAAAATGCCCCAAGAGATTTCAGAGAGAAATTTCTTACTGCTGTAGTTGTCTCAAAACATCAGTTCATGTAAAATCCTACTATATTTGCAGAAGATCTGCTAGAACAGAATTTGAAACAAAGGGCACCCTGTTTTGTTATTTGCATTACAAAATAAACATTCTTTGCAGTGCAAACCTTGTTACCATTCCACATCTACATTAAAGCAGGACCCTGTCCTGAAAATGAGCAGCACTGCCTCAGTTATTTGTCCCTCATGTGTGCCCCATCTCTGGGGGTTCCCCTGAATGTGGCATGCCCAAAAACAGCTTCACTCATCTTCACTCTCCCATCATCAACCATGGCGTTTTACCTGCAGTCAACATTTTCACCTGGGAAAAGCAATTTTAAAAAACTTACCCTACAGCAAACCAGGGCAGGGAAAGGTAAACTGGGCTGTCTTTTCACAAGGGAAAGAGAAGTGATTCTTTGTCATTAACAGCATAGCAGCTTGCACTGTGAAATAAGTAGAGGTGTTGTTGTTGGCTTGCCTCAGTAGAAAAAATGCTATATCCCCAGCCTAATAAGGATTTAATATCAGCTGGAAGAGTAAAGGAGAGAGAAAATTATGAAAAGGGAGTGAGAAGAAATATCTAGATAAAATCTTATTGGGGGCAGTCATGTCTAGAGATGGCTGGAGAACTATAGGACTAGTTTAAATTAAAGGAAATCCAAGTTAGCCAAAAGAAAAAATAAGTGAGGACCACTTTGTGGTTCACATACTGGATGTCCTGTGAACATGGGGAAAGACTGAGCACAGAGTTGTTTCAGAGGAAAGATTGAATAGAAGAGGCTTGTAAAAAGGCAGCCCA